TTAACCATCTTGTTGAGTGACGTCCAGTGAAAAGGACTACAGCCGTTGGTGACAGTGACTGATGTTGTGACAACTTAAGTCGTCGTAGTCAAGGGAGGAACTATCAGTTTGTGAAAAATGATTGGTAAATTTTGCTGTTGTAATCATGGCCATCATAATTGTAATAATGATAATATGCCTTTATTATTTTTAAAAATTATTTAGTTTATGTATATTTATGAGGATACTATCTGTTTCTCTAGGTTGTAGATGGCTTTTTTGTAAAGCGGACACGAGATTTGAAAGAGGGTGTTGCTTATTTAACAGTCATGACTCGATACTTGCAAAAGTTTTACGCAGTAAGTACCAACTTAACCTCGCTCACTCAGCCACTTTACCATTAGAAACACAACTACAGTCTATATCGTTATTGATGAGTCTTAAACTGATCTTCAAAACTACATTACAAAGAACGATTTAAACCAAAAAAACAAACTCCTCCTACCTCCCAAAAAAAGCTGAAAAAAGTATCCCGAGCTTTCAGTAGAAAACGATCTACTCTCTAACATTTATGTCGCTGTTGAAACAAAAATTATAGGGTTTCAATACAAGGTATTGAATGATATAATTTTCATAAATGAGAAGTTATTCCGTTTTAAAATGATTTAATCGCCTTTCAATAAGAAAAATTTAAAAAAAATCGAAAGGAAAAAAGAAGTATAGCTTAAAAGAATTCACAAGGCTCTTAATCGAGAATGCAAATTACGATCTTTAAGGCTACGACTCTGCAACATATGCCATTTATTCTACAAGTTGTACATCAACTTGTCCCATAAGCACTATGTATCAAATATTTTAAAAACCCTTGCTTCTAGCTACCGCAAGATATACCGTGGGTGATGGAATAACGTGCGTGATTAGTACAAGTACAGGTATAAATTAGGTTAGATTAGCCCATCATATCTTTTTAGCAAGCACGGTGACCTATCTTTTTTATTGTACTCTTCGAAACAGGGATTGGAAGAGAACGTTCAAGGAATGTTTCTTAAAATTTGTTCGATTCCTTTTTTCCTGAGGATCACCTTACAAGCAGAACTGCTATTTGTATTGGTAGATTAATTTTTTTTTTTTCAGAAGGAATGTATGTTAAGAGAAAAAAAAGGGAACGGTTTTTTCTGTTCGCCACGTGCCACCTGCAATTTACTGCTTGTGGATATACCCAACAAGGCCAAACAACTTATTTCATTTCATGCAACAATTGAAACTTTTCACGCTTTTGACGCGGGTATGAATTTAGAATCTAGTCTTGGAAAATGCAGTCTGAGTTATGTAATTTTCCTTCTTGAGCCTATGTCGTTCATTTTCTTCTCAGAATAAAACTCTTGTCAGCTGTCATCAAGGAGGCCTGGAGCAAGCCCGTTTAAACAATGAAAAGGAAAGAAATAAAATGTACCTCATGAATTTCCTCGATTTTAACGACTCAACTGCCAAGAATAAGGTAACAAGAATCACCTTGATTGGAATGACTTCCTCTATAGACTATATTCGGTGTTCATAAAAAGACAAAAGCAAACAATAAAAAGAAAAGGTTACCGCCAAGTCTAATTTCAGAAGGCAACTAAGCTTGTTCATGTAATAAAGGGATAAAATTGTGCGTTTCCAATATTGTTATTTAGATATAAATAGAGGTTATGTGGGTAAGTTGGCTTTCCCTTTGTTGACAACAGGTGATGACAGTGAGTGAAGTGTTTGCCAAGCAGCTTATGCAGCTAAGTGGTGTGTCTCCTGACAAGGCTGTTGCAATCTTGGACAAGTATCCCACGCCTAAAAGGTGATACATGTGGAGTGACTTGGCACTCTATGAAACTCTTCAATTTTGTTCTAGCCTGCTATTAGAGAATAATTAGGAAAGGATCCTTGTAAGGAATTAGCCGTAATGGATAGAATATTAGAATATTATGGGAAAAAGTTTTCCCACAGTGTGGCATTTAAAGGAACTACAACAACTGTATCATAACATCGTATTCCGATGTTTTATTTTAGTTTATTAGATGCATACAAGGTACAGAAGAGTGTGGAAGATCAGGAATTGCTCCTTTCTGAGCTGAAATGCGGTGAAAATCAAAGGTAAATCATTAATCATCCGAAATATATGGGACAGACGTTCTTACACAACAATCAGAATTAACGTGTTCGTAGTGTTGCAGGGAGCAGGTAGGAAACAGAAAAGTGTGAAATCATAATGAATTACAGTTATTTTTATTATTATTTATCTTTCATACTCTTTATTTCTGAGGCTTGAGTAAATCTTATGGTTTTGCACTAGTCTAATATTGCTTGGATATCACTTAATTGCAGGACATTAGGATCGTCTCTGAGTAAACTGATTTATCAGCTGTTCTGTTCACCATCCTTGTGTTGATACCTGAAGCGGAAACTGGTTTCTCTATCTATTTCTTCTATGTGTTACTTACACAAACAAGTTGTCCAGGTTGGACATACATGTATGGAAATTGTAACTGAATTATTCTGTTTGATATACCTCAGTACTGTTCCATATCATCTTTTACTTAAGGTGCGTTCCTTTGGGAGAATCCGGATGAGGATTTCTGATCTGCGGCGTTCCTTGCGAGCAAATCCGTTTTCAGATCAGTGATCTATCAAATCCACTTTGGACAAGGCTTCATCGGATCATTGATCTGTGTGATCTGAAGACCGATCATCGGATCACTGATCCAAAGCGTTCCTTTGGGCGAAGGATCCGAAATTAATCATTTTGCCTGGCGAAAAATCATTTTGTTTAATTTATAAATAAAATCATTTTGCTCAATTTCATAATAAATTTTCGAATAAATCATTTTGCTCAATTTCAAACGAGCAGGTACTTCATACCTAAGAAGTACTTTCGTGACGCGTTCCCGCGTTCGCGATATCGTCGTACGTTACTCTGTAAAAACGAACTTGAGAATTATTTATTTGTTGGTTTTTTTCTTTTTGCTGTACTTTTACAGTGTCTTTTCCACTTTTCGTAGGAGTCTGTTTTCTACATATTCTGTATATCGATATCAGTGCCCAAATTGTTTTGATTTCCTGGAGTATTTGAGTGGGACTTTTCTGTAAATACAACACGTTTTTCTTTTCCTTTTGGGCAAAATCTGAAACACTGTAGAATAGTATGGTATGTTCGAATTAATTCTCGATGCGGACATGGCTCTGCCTCTCCCTACTGGCAATCAAAAGGATCAAAAGAAATTGTTCATCTTCCCAACTTCTCGCTTCTTGTTGTATGGAATCATAGGCAAGTTCCTCTATTAATGAAACAACAGCTGCTCTAGACGCAATGGCCATCTTGTTTTCGTTTTCAAATCTAGGGCGCGATTCTGCTGACGCACTCTACTATTTCGCGCCTGCTGTCATGGTAACTGATCCGATGAATAGTCCTTTTTACAGTTGTGTACTTAGTTGCCAAGCCTTTGAATAGGAGTGAGGCAAGGGTTGACCTTGTTATGATACAAACCTTGCTGCCTTTCAAATGTAAATTACTTTGTTATCATGCTAACTAGATACAGGTCTCTATCACAACAAGGTCACCTTCAGCCTCACTCTGAATCAAAAGCTTGGCAACTAAGTACACAACTGTAAAATGGCCTATTAAAGTTCCGTTCCTTTGATGCACCGTGATCTGGGTGATCTTAGATCACAAATCCTGATCCGGATCCTCCTAAAGGAATCACCCTTATTTGCATGCATGTTAGAATAATGTAGGGTCAATCACACAGTTTGTGTTCTTTTTTAGCAATAAAGGTATCTGTTAAGGTTAACCTAGTGTTGCTGCATATTCTTCGAAGAATTCTACATTTTTTTCAGCAAGGAGGGGAGGGGAGAGGGAAGCGGGGATGAGAGAGAATGTCTGATTGAAAAGCTATCGTTACCCGACTCCTTCAGCGTCACATTACCACGATCCGTTTACCTGTCTTTAGTTAAAACTCACTATAGGTACGAATAATTAACAATTATTCAACAAACTGTAGGTGAATAGTACCACTTTCACCGACACTGTGGTAAATAATTGTTTTAGTATGTACCACACACATACCAAAAACTAGGTTATTTCTTTCAACTTGCCGAAAAATGGTCGGAAAGTAAACTCTTGACACGCGATTTTGTCTTTGCGGCTGCGCGGAGGAGATTAGTACCAGCCGAACTAGGATTTGCACTTCCGAACTAGGATTTGCACTTCCGAACAAGCCATCAGCACGCACGAAAAGCACTAATCGCTTGTGTGGTATGTACTAGCAACACCTATAATACATCAATATTTTTGCTCGTGTCTGATTGGTCTTAACGTATGTGATTGAATATGCCCCAGAAATATTCTTCACTTATCGTTTAATTCGAGATGAAAGAGCGTTTCTCTATTGTTACACAAGGGACATGTTTGTTCATAAGTTTGCACCAGGTCGTTCGTGAGCACTTTTCACTTGTGTTGCAGAAATCTTGAAGGATATGACAATAGCCTTAATTTGGCGGAAAAAATGTGCATGGATATTTCTTGGACGTTATCTGTCCGCCAGTCAGTGGACAAATAACTTAGGAGCGACTTTTTTTCAAGACCGCGTGAGAGGTGGCACATCGACCGAAAAATTACTATCCTCATATTTCAGTCAGAGATGCTTTACAGTGAGCTTACAAAAGTGGTAAGGTTTTTTTTTTCCTAGACTTGCTTCTTTATCCTAGAAAATTCACGAAAACTGAAACCAGCGCGAGTTGCCGTAAAAAGGCGGAAATCAAGTGCCCCGAGTAGAGGCAAATGAGCTTTGCTCGTGCAAAGCGGAAAAGAAAGCAAGCTCGTATCGATTTGACAAATTTGTATAGGAGGGATTGAGGTTCGGCTTAAGTCTCAAACGGGACCATTTCATTTAATTTTGAGCTCAGGAACACTTTTAAAAATCACCAATATTTCAAAATCCAAATATCGCATTTCTAGTTGTAGTAAATTTTCAATTATCATTTTCCCCATGCGGTATACCTCAGAGTCAGTTCAGGTCAAGCTCATGATAAGTGGAAATAGTGTCGTTTTCGAGGATACAAAAATTAATTTGCGGCTTTTCATTTCCACGCGGAAAAACCAGGCTGAACTTTGTGAAAATCGCAACGTCGTCATTTACGTCATGACATAATCTAATTAGGCAACCTGTAATTAAATCCGGAATTCCAAGCACATTTTAGAAGTTAGCACCGTGTTCGATCAGGAAATTAATACAGTAAGCTAGCCTTGCATAGCTAACAACGACAGATTGGTTTTTATCCCTGCTTTTGTTTCAAATTCCCATCCATTTCCCATGGCGAAATTGTTTACATTAACACATTCCGTAACCTAACGGAGGGCGTCTGTTTTTCCTTTGCGTATTCGAACACCTTTAAGTTTTAAGAAAGTTCCGGGGTAAACTTGAGCTTCATTGTGGACTTGAAAGAGGACAATTCAATCATCTATAACGGCAGGTCAAATGTTCTTTGCCGAAGACGTTGAAGACGGGAAGCAATCTATTTGTAAATGTGACACACTCAAGCATTTGTCACGCAAGGCTGAACTTATTTCAATCTCGTTTCCATCTTGTAATTTTACGGCCACAAATATCCATTAAGAACGCTTTTTAACAAACTTGTTATATGATAATTTTTCTTATCAGGTAGTCATTGCTGCGAAACTTGTTAACTTCGCAGCGGGGATTTTATGCAGAGTTGAACGTTACAATGACATTGCCAAGAAGAGCCAATAAGCAGAACACAAAACAACAAATAGCTATAGAAAAAAGATTAGGGAAAGGATCAAGAGTCAGAGTAAAGGCGAAAAAGAGGCAGAGTACAAAATGATTGAAATAGGAGAAGAATACCAAGTATGGAGCCGGCAATAGAATGAAATAGATAGGGTGAACTAGACCTGAGAATATATAACTGTATGATAAACAACGTGCCATTTGAAATCACTACTACAAATAAAGAATCTTAGCTGAGTTAAGAACGTTCTTCCCAAATTGAGAGATTTAGTTACAAAACTCACGGAAATTGGTTGGGCTGGAAACTGTTCGCAAATTAAAACAACTAAGTCGAGAAAAAGGTCATTCTTTTGATACTACAGCTAATACTATTTCAGCTAATGTCGTGCCGTTTTCTGAACACCTAAAGACTGTCAGCATTACTGATGTTAAGGCCGAAATAGATTTAATTTTAGATCGAGCGCTAATTATTAACATACCTTCCAGCAATCAGACTAGATCACCTGTTCCGGGCATCACTATTTTTTAGGCGTTGGATGAAGGAGAGGGTCACAAAAATGCCATGCATTCTACAAGTTATCCAGCCATGCTACGGGGCCGACCATTTAACTTTTGAAGGGGGGGAGGTGATTTCAGGTCATCAAGAAATTTTTTTCTAGCAATCTGCAGGGCAGGATATTTATTTCTGCTTTTTTGTTACATTTTTTCTCTTACATTTAGGCTGCATGCAATTTTTTTCTTCAACAAGCGCTTGCAGGAAATTTTTTTTCAAAGTCACCCACCCCACCCCCCCTAAAGGAAAGATGCGCAGGCCTTATTACAGAATTAATAATGCATTTTTGAGAACAATTTTCTTGCTATCCCTTTTTACAGGTTTTTGTTGTTAAAAATTATCATTTCGGGGAAGATTTCCAAAATGTCGCAAAGCGCCGATTCTAGTCAAACGGCCAAAATGGCGCGGCACCTTGTTCCGGATTTTTTTTAAATTTGTGGTTTACTTACAGAGATGTAATGTGCCAATATTTCCCAATACAGCTCAAGCAAGCGATAAGTATTTTATCATGGCGTTCGGGAAAACTTCTTTACTTTTAATTTTTCGGCTTTCGCGAACAAAAGTGTACGGCTTATGACCACTTCAGTGGAAACAGTCCGTATGGCAAGGTCCAGACCAAGTAAGAGCAAATCGGAACGCTTGGATTTACCTTAAGACTATCCTGCCATATAGTAAGTTGTTATAACCTTCAAGTTTGAGGTATTTTCGCTAATAGTTTGTTTTCTCACTGAGCTTTTAAGTTTGAAAATACTTGTCCTTGCAACTTTTTACTTCGTGCTTGCGTTTTTCTGCAAGGAATTCATCAGAGAAAGAGCCACACATGATCACAAGTTTGTTTTTTTTTTTTATATAGGTGTTGTCGTTAACTCAATCCAATTAGTTTTGCTCAGCGTACTAATTGACTTTCCTTTTTTAGATTTCAGTGACGTTCAAAAAATGTTGAATCGGTGTCAGAGACGTTATACGCCAATTAATCGCAGCTTCAACATCTGGGGCAACCCACAGGGTTTTGACTGTCGTCCTTTGAACCTTACCTGGGTGGGGTAGGGAGTTTGAACCGGAAGTGTCAAGTCTTTCCAGAGGAATATTGGTGGTTTATCTTTTAATGTGGAGGTACTTAAAGCGGATGGTTCAGAATATAGATAGATAGCTTTATTAGGAAGTAAAATCATTGCAGCCCCCGGGCCGGCTGAAATACGACTTACTTTACAATGGGAATAAATTATCTCTTACTCTAAGATAACTACAATAAAAGCCGCAAAGTGTAATCTACAATAAAATACAATAAGAGAAGTATCAAAAACCTGTGGCGTTGTATTTTATTGTACAATAAAATACAATAAGAGAAGTATAAAATACAATTTGAGAAGTATCAAGAAGGTTAAATGCTTCGCTCATATCAAGACAGATTTCGTCGAAGTTAGGACGAAATAATCAAATTTGAAGAAAGTTTTGACATTTCCCAATTTGGTCATGCCACGCGGCTTACTGATCGCTTATTGAATGTGAGTGAATCTGTAGAAAGGAAGCCCTTAAAGATTGAAACATAAAAGCGATGAATCATTTCTTATAAGTCGCCATGAAGGTGAATTGGAACTTTCTCAAAGAACAGTGATTACAATCAAATCGTACCAACCAACGCCTTATTGCTGACACTTAGTCCAGCGTAACCTGAGCGTTATATATAAAAGCTATAAATTTCCTCAGTATCGCTTAACCGTTCCTCGTCGAAATGTAATAGTTTGGCGTGGCGCTGGATTTAGGCACCGTACCAAATTGCTGTGGGTCGATCTTTGAGAGGACAGCGGGCTTAACATAAGTGTCGACAACGTACTCCTCCGCTATCTTTGACAAGATTGGAGTCAGGGATATGGGTCGAAGGTGTTTGTTTAGGTCCTGCACAGGTCTTTGCTTAGGCACCGGCACGACATCCGCTTCTTTCCATGAATGAGGGAGACGACCTTCGCGATAAGATAAATTGAGAATATCTGCTATCGGGGGTCCCAGTTAATCTGCATTTTCTTTCAACACCCTCCCTCGGATGCCATCAGGACCATGCGCATTGCTTGTGTTCAGTTTCCTGAATTTCTTATAAACCGACTCGTTTGATACAACAAGCGCAGGTTGTTGGGTTGCACTGTCAGAGGGTATTATGACAAAATCAGCAG